CACATATTAAATTTGAAAAAAAAATAAGGAGAATAAAGATTAATTGTATATAAAGATATAGCTGTATCTTACGCTTGTGTCCATTGTGCGTTGGATTTAATCTTTATTCTCAAAATTTTTTTTCAAAATTTAATATTTATTCTAGTTCCTAATATCTCCTCCATTGTGCGCAGAGCCTAATTGACGAATTATCCAACGCACCTCTTTTTACGATAAGAATCTTGCGATCCATCTTGCAATCTCATTTAAACGTCTGTTTGAGACGATTCATTTAATTGTACAGGAAGAGCAAAATTCTCTTCTAGATTCCTTTTTCTATTCTCGCCAATTATCGCTCGAAACAATCGAAGACACTCGTCTCGTCTCTTCTCGAGCTTTCAGAAAAGTTTTACGACGGGAGACAAACTAATGTCATTCATCGGACATGGCGTTTCGGTCGAATGAGGGTTAATTTAAGCGCGAGAGAGATATTACCGCGCAACGCTCGACCGGATGATCTATAGCAACCGCCGCTGTTACGGTGTGGCACCATTATGATGTAAGCTTGACTCACGCACCTACTCTTCGTGGAGAGCGGTGAGATCAATTGACCGATTTTCCCGGACCCATTTTGTCGCGCTGATAACAGCAGTGACAAAATTAATCTTTTATCTACGACACGCGAAAAAGAGCTTCTTTTCGACTAATTCCAATAAAAATCAGTTGCGAATGCGACATATTTTTATTACTTCTATGTTAATCGGTGTTACAGGTTAGTGTAACGGGAAATGATAAATATAATAAAAAGGTGCAAAAATAAAATAGAAATAAGTTTTACTTTAAATTACTGCGATAAAATGCGAGTAACGATGCTACGAGTACAAACGAGAAGCCTTGGCTGATTTGTCGATAATTTTGCTTCCTATGTAAAATGCTTTCTGATGTAAATATGTAATCTTAATATTTGCTGAACGGCATTCTTGGTAGCGATGACAGGGACAGCCAACAGAGCGATGACGGCGACGGCGCCGTCGACGCCGACGCCACCGACGACGACGACGACGACGACAACGACGACAACGACGACAACGACGACGACGATGTAGTATCGATTAAAACTCGCGGTGTACCTGCCGTTGTGTGTGCTTAACCTTGACCTTGCGTCCCGGGCCTCCTTATGTATCGTTCCAGCTCATGGCTTCGTATAGAAATGGGAGAGAACCTTCTCACACGACTACTTCACTAATTACACGCAAGATCTCGTATATTTACTTTAAAATGTAATTTATAGTCAGTCTCAAAAGTCTATTTAGGATTCTACATCGTTTGAAATAATTCGTCTTTCTAATTGAAATAAATTTAAATTGAGATTCGTAACAATCGCAATGTGATTTTACACAGCTACTCGACTTATCATTGACTTATCTGTGAAGTTTTATCAAGTTAATCGGAATTCGTTTATAATACAATATAAATTACTCGTAGGCTCGTAGATATGTATAAAACATAAAATGTTTTTAAATTCACAATTCTGAAACGTGATTTTTTTTCTAATTTTCTTTTTTCTTTTTTTTATCTGTTTTAAAGTTTTATCTTTAAACTAAATATGTGATTTTTTTATAGTTGCTTCTTCTATTTCTTTTCTCCATTTCTTTTTCTTAGACAGACTGCTTACGCGTTCTCTTAAGCTCAAGTTTTGCTTTTTCCTCTTCGTTGATCGATCGTAATCGCAATCCTGGAAATGCTTAATTTGCACAACTAATTTAATTTCGCGGAAGCGAAATAAATTGTATTATTTTAACATTACAAACACATCTGATGTAACAGAACAGTATATTTGAAAATCACGATATTTGACTATGTAAACTGATAGATCCGCTCTTTTCACCACACACATTATATTTCGTTAGATGCGTGGCACTCACACGAGATGCACTTTTTATCTTGCGACATAAAATGCACTTTGTTGTACAAATCATTATCTTCATGTAGCTCAAAGTAAATGCGAATTTGCGAAGAAATGAAAATATTCATCAATATCTAATAAATATTTAAATTACATTTTAATTACAATTTATTTATTTCACTTAAATACATGTGATTAAAAAATAACTCCATATGAATTATTTTCAACATACACGCGTGCGCGTCAAATCACGTAATTTTATCGATCCAAAGTCGAGAGATCTAAATCCTATTAAATTAATTTAATTTAACGATATTGATTTAATTTAAACTGACAATCTTGTTTTCTTCCTAATACCTTTGATCAGCGATTCTACTGCTGATCGTATGACTAACTTGTAATTTAAAACTTAAAATTAATTAATTTTTAATAAATTCATAAAATAATTTAATAATAATTTTTGATATCTATTTGCGGTTAAAATTGTTTAAAGATATCTCTATGATTTTATATTATATTATTTTATTTTTGAAAGCTATTTCACTTGAATCTCGATTTTAGATAAACGTGCGTGTGTATATGTGTGCGCGCACGCGTGTATGTTGAAAATAATTCATATGGAGTTATTTTTTAATCACATGTATTTAAGTGAAATAAATAAATTGTAATTAAAATGTAATTTAAATATTTATTAGATATTGATGAATATTTTCATTTCTTCGCAAATTCGCATTTACTTTGAGCTACATGAAGATAATGATTTGTACAACAAAGTGCATTTTATGTCGCAAGATAAAAAGTGCATCTCGTGTGAGTGCCACGCATCTAACGAAATATAATGTGTGTGGTGAAAAGAGCGGATCTATCAGTTTACATAGTCAAACGCAGCACCCACCAACGAGCGGATGCGACCTGACTGATGCAACCGTGTGGCGATGTGTTTTCGATGCATTCGCGTGAATGCTATTATTGGACCCGGTTATATTCCGTCATTGCACAGCTTGTCTGCGCTTTTTTTTACCCGAGAAATATTGAGATCATAAGCTGCGCTAAGCGTAGGCAGCGGACATTGGGACAAATATAAGATGCGCCATTATCCAGTCGTTGAAATAACGAATTAATTCATTTCTTCCATTCTAATTTTCACTCATCTGTCAAATTCTTTTTACAAGAGGTTCATTTTTTTTTTTTTCGAAAATTATATTTTTAAGAGATTTATGTTTTTAAGCAACATGATGTACGTTTATTTCCGCTTATTTGTACTATTTTAAAATGACTAAATTATATTTATAATTTTAGTTGTTAAAATGATGAGTAAAATTTATTTTTGACTATAATTTTTTATCTAGTGCAAACAAATTTCATAATTCTTTTAATACGACTAAATTTATTTGTAACTTGGATAGTTTTCTCATGTAGAGCAAAGATTATTTAACGAAAATTCTATATAGGATAAATTTCTCACGAGAGATGTGTAATATTGTATGTATGTAATTATTGTATGTTCAGGAGATAAATTCCGTCTTGTGCTGGCAACAACGTTACGCGAGGATGGATATCCGGATGGTAACGAGTGGAACCCTATGGAACAGGAGGGCGGTTCCAGGGCGGATAGCTTTGAGTACGTCATGTCCGGCAAGGTGTACCGAATAGAAGGCGACGAAGCCAATAACGAGCCTAGCAGCAGATTGTAAGTAGACATTCTCTTGTATTAAACACGTAAGATTAGTTTGGGAAATTGACATATTTTTTTCTTGTCTCTTAAGAAAATTTTATTGTACTTGGCGAAATCAATTGGTCATATATTGAAAATTTATGAATGTACATTTTGTAACTAATTGAGACAGAAAATTAAAATAAAGAGACAAATCTCTTAGACTGATCTTATCAGTGAGATATATCTTATTGATAGTCAAGATTCGTTTGCACTTCACCTTGACATTACGATATTAGTTTGAAATTTTATATTGTTTACGAAACGTACGTATATATGATTTTCTCGGTAGTTAAATAAGAATAATTAACTTCACATTTAATAGCAGTGTGATGCCTATAATTGTACGTATGTGGTGTTAATTGGGCATCACTTTTAAACATATACGGATAAGTTGTGAGTTAAAAATACAATTTTTATTAAACGACATATCATTAATCATAACTTATCGTTTTTTAGACTATCAATTGAATCATATCATTTGAAATAATGTTTCATTTATATGTATTAAAAGATAAAAATAGATTTGTATAAATTCTCGTTACATGGAAAAAATTTTGTAGTGCAAACGAACAAACGTATTTTTCATGATATCCGAGCAGAATTCCATATTTAACGAAATGTCATCATAGCGCAAGTTACCACGCGACTTTTGTATAGTTGATTGAAAAGTCGCATTGTCGAGTGTTTGTAAGAAGCGACTATCGTTGACAATTGATTGTCGTTACTTATGCGTGTTCTGCGTTAACTTGATTCTGCTCGGAAACGCCACACGTTGGGCTATATCAGACATACACATGGACGCGCGTCACGATGACGTCGTCGAACGACACATCGATGTGCGACAGACTTTCTGCTGTGCGATCTCCTATTGGCTCATTTCCAAGCGCTCTCAATGAAGCCGCGTGAGCTTCCAAACAACTTTCTGCGCCGCTTGTAGAGATATTGGCTCTCTGTTGTCGTCGGTTATCGCTCTATTCTAAACAAAGTCTCTCAACCGGATCGAGAAGCGGTAGTATCACTCTTATGTAATTAATGGACGATAGAGAAGTAGAAGAATATCAAGTATCGCAAAAAATGTTGCAGACAATTTTTTTAAATTGATGAACAAATATGGTAACGATATACAAGCGAGATTATACTGAATTAATTAAAAACTGTAAGTTAAAAAATTGCAAGTTGCTCTTAATACTTTTTCACTAGACGCTTTGTGAATAATTTTTTTAATAAACCTGCATTTAATGAAATATTGTGGATAATATTCGCGATAATTGAATGGTAATAAAGTTAAGATGTGGTGTGTGTGTGTGTGTGTGTGTGTGTGTGTGTGTGTGTGTGTGTGTGTGTGTGTGTGTGTGTGTGTGTGTGTGTGTGTGTGTGTGTGTGTGTGTGTGTGTGTGTGTGTGTGTGTGTGTGTGTGTGTGTGTGTAGTATATAGTAGTACGTACGTACGTACGTACGTACGTACGTACGTACGTACGTA